CCCCCAAAACCCCAAAACCCCAAAACCCCAAAGCCCCACTATATATTCCAAATTTTTATTTTCCACAAACATGGAATCCACCACTCGTAAGCTCCCCTCCTTCCTTTTCCATAACTAAATCTCTAGGAGCCGATACAAAGAAACTCCGTAACGATCGGTGCTTAAAGAACCTGAACAGGTCACCCTCCGATATCTTAAACTACGATTTCTGTGACGACCCGTACCCTGACTACGACTACCTCCTACTGCAGAAGCAAGAGAGCCTCCCTTTCAGCATGGTTAAGTATACTGGCGAGGACGGGGCTGAAGAAGAGAAGGAGCAGAGCGATGGGACGAGTGGCAGCGGGTCTGAAGGAGCAACTTTTCATGAAAATATGAAGCATAAACAGCTTATAGTTGGTTCTGTAGGGAAATCAACTAAAGCGAAGACTTTTACGGAGAAGACGAATAAATCTGGGCTAGGTCTTTTATTTTGTAGCTTGTTTGGGAAAAATGAAGAAGACATTACACAAGACGATACAGATCGAGAGAACCTTAAAAAGGGCTCAAAGAATAAGAAATTTTGTTTCAAGCCAGGCCCGATGCTTGAGAGAGGGGCTAAACTGATAGAACAGTTCCCAGATTTAACCATTGATGACTTAGAAACTGTTCAGTTCATTGGAAGAGGAGCGTTTGGAAATGTCTCTCTGGTAAATTGAAAATTAAACAATTTACCATATGCTCTCAAGGAAATGAGCAAAGAAGAGATCATGAGGCAAGGGAGGTTCACCCATCTCATGAGAGAGAAAGACATAATGAACAAATGAATTCATAATAACATTGTCAGGTTGGAGACAACTCTCAAGGATGATGAATTTTGCTACTTCTTGCTCGAATATCACCCAATCGGAGATTTATCAAGTCTCATTGATAGGGAAAAGAAACTAAGCAAGAGGTTGACTAAGTTCTATGCTAAAGAGATCATTTCTGTGCTAGAATACTTCCAGAAGCACAATATTGTGCATCGAGACATGAAGCCTGATAATATTCTTATTGATGCCTCTTTCCATTGCAAAATCGGTGATTTTGGAGCAGCTAAAATAATTGACCCAGAAATGGTCAATGAAGAGCTTGATAAATTAAATTTTGATGATCATGAAGACTCCAGCTCTATTGAAGACACTCCTGATTTCGATCTGGAAGATTTTGACAGAAGATATAGGTAAGTAAACAATCTAGGAGATTTAGTAGTTTTCATGTTCTGTATCTTTCTTTATTTAAAATAAAATACAGAAATTTGTATTTGAAGTTCAAAATTTTACCCACAAGCAAAGACTAACTCTGATTTAGCGATGAGCAAGATAACAGAGAAGGAACTTTTGTCGGCACACCATTATACGTATCACCAGAAATGTTGGAACACAATATTGCTTGCTTCGGATCCGACCTTTGGGGACTTGGATGAATAATCTATCAATGTCTCACTGGATTTCCTCCTTTCAGGGGAGAAACACAGGAAACAATTTTCAATGCAATTCTAGATAGAGGAGTCTACTTCCCTGATGATATTGACGAGGATGCAATGGATTTAATAACTAGACTCCTAATGAAAGATCCGAGAGATCGACTAGGAGCTGGGCTGAAGCATAGCGGATTATCAATAAAGGATCTCAAAAAGCATCCATTCTTAAAGGGAACTAAGTGAAGAAACATGTAAGCCATTTCTGATTCATCTTTAAGGTTCAAAAAGAAGCCTCCAGTATCAAAGAAATTAGCCAAAGCTGCAAATAGAGCACTTAGAAAGAATAAAGTCAGATAATCTTCTAATATTTTAGAAAGAGCGTCAAGAACAAAGCGACAGTGAAGAGGATGTTGATGAATATAATGACAGCAACAGACCTAGCAAAGTATTTGACACCATTCAAAAAAGGAACCCATTTAAAGGCTAAACAGGCACCTTTCTTACAAAGCCTCACTAACCTTTCAGGACTTCTGTCCCTAAAATCCTCACTTACTTATCACCTTAATCCTATATCTTTCAACATCCTGTCTTCCCCACGGGGTTTTGGGGTTTTGGGGTTTTGGGGTTTTGGGGTTTTGGGGTTTTGGGGTTTTGGGG